CATTGGGGGAGAACGGTGCTTCATTGGGGGAGAATGGTGGTTGATTCGGGGAGAACGGTGCTTCATTGATGGCGAATGGTGGTTGATTGGGGGAGAACGGTGCTTGATTGGGGGCGAACGGTGGTTGATTGGGGGAGAACGGTGGTTGATTGGGGGAGAACGGTCTTTGATTGGGATGGTTGGACCAAGGACTCGACGGGTCAAACGAAAAAGGGGACAACGGTAGTTGATTGGGATGACTAGACCAAGGACTCATCGACTTCGAGTCAAACGAAGAAGGGAAGAGTCTGTGAGTGGGATAAGTGGGTTTGCTGGACGAAGGAGGCGATATCATAGGGGTGCCAGTTGAGGGCTTGGGGGGGAACGAAGAAGGGAACGGTTTGTGAGTGGGATAAGTGGGTTTACTGGACGAAGGAGGAGATAGAGATATCATAGGGGTATACCGTGAGAGGGCGAATGAAGTAGCGAATTGTCTGTGAGTGGATTGCGTGGATTTTCTAGACGAAGGATTCGTAGGGGCGCCAGTTGAGGGCTTGGAGGCGGACGAAGGAGGTTTGCGGGTTGACTGAGTAGGCTGCTGGCTGGACGAAGGGGTGGGGTTAGATGAAGGAGTCAGTGACGATCCGATCAATTCAGGATATGAGATCGTCTCGGCCATATTGCACACTCCCTTGCCACTCAGCCCTCGCTTCAAGTATATGTACCCTTTGTCGCCCCATTGCGACCCCCACGAGTTTTTGATTTTGAAGTAATTGTCCGAGTAACCGACGACAACCACAGCGTGGTTGGATTCAGCCCCAGGACATTGAGACACGATGCCACCCTTGTAGTTGCGCCACACTGCGTTGGCAGATTCGACGAACACGGCGGCGGGCTGGCTTTCCAGGACTGTCAAGAGCGAGCTCTCGCCAGATGTAGTCTTGGTTTGGCCAATGCTCAGTTTTTTCTTGGTGCAGCTGGCTTGGCAGGCACCAGTTTGGCCCTTACCCGACGTGTACGGGTAAGACTGTTCTGTGCACACGCCTTGTTGCACCCAGTCAAGGCCTTCCTCAGTGCTCCCGCCATCACAGCCCCGGTTGACTCCGTTCGTGAAGCAGCTGACCAATTGTTGCTCAGACAAGTCCAAGAGTTCGCCAGTGGCAATGCAGTGGGCATACTCCGCCGTCCCGATGGTGGCGAAGGCCCAGCACGACCCACACTGGCCTTGGTTGGTAATCGGGGAGTTGCACTTGGATGTCGACCAGTCCTTTTTAGAAGCGCGTTCATTTTTCAACTCTGGCAAGGGCGCGGCTTTGGTGAAGTTTTGTCCCGCAAACGACTTCACCAACATACCCTTGAACTCTTCGTCGGTCAAGAGAGCAAACTGATTGAATGGACTGAACTCGGCGCCCGGGTTGGCTTTGGAAGCGAGCTCCACGTCTTGGACGGTGTGGTGGAAGCGCTCGAGTTCATCGATAGTATGGCCATTGACTCGGGCGGATGCCGTGTCCGTTTGGGGGAAGAAGCCGTTGGCCTCGGCAATGGGGCCATACGACGCCTTCCACTTGTCCAGTTGTTCGTCTAACAAGGTTCGATCGGACGCGCTGAGGGATTTGAAAGATTGTCGGGCGGCAGACGCAGTGGTTGCGAGTGCGGTGGAGAGTGCGAGACTAGCTTTCATGTGCGTTTGATGAACGGAATTGGAGAATGACATTTGGTTTGGATGGAAAACTGCATACGGCATGATGGTTACCATATGGTTCCATGTATTTCTGGCTCAATCTCCTTCTACATCATTGTTCCAAGGGTTCAGGGATTTGAATGTCCTCCTCACAATCATCTATGCGCCGACACAGTAGTTGTGCACTAACTTACAATAAGGGTATCCTTACCCAGTACGTGCAAGAAATAAAATGCCAACATATTGATTGTACTTACTACAGAGAATTTCGAACTACTAGTTGCAATCCAATTTTGGCGAATAAGACTTACAGTACCACTTGTAGATCCACGATAAATCCGCAAGTACAGACGTTGATCGACGATAAATCCGAAAGTACAGACGTTTGAATTACAATATTGCGCCAGCATATTTCTAACAGCACAGGGTTCTGAGATCCAAGTTGCAATTCGCATCGAATACTGATTTGAACCAATGATAGGGAGTCCAAAACAACTAATTCGTCATGTTTTGAGCTGAGTGCCTGTTTTGGATGTTAGATTCAACAGCCTACATCCATCTACATTTCAAAGAATTTATATACTACTATAGCGGTATGCTGATAGTGCAGTCTAACAAGATCCATTAAAATCAGAGCATTAACCCTCAGCTGAGGGTTAATATTCTTTAGTTGCGACATCCTCGCTCAAAGATCGCAAATTTTGAATTCGGCGAAGATTCGAATAGGGTATTCGTGATCGTTGTAAATAATTCGTATTGGCTAATGTGTTGCCAGTATACTGTACTCGAAGTACTAGGAGATACTAGTTTTATCCGTATATTTCAGATAAATGATTCCATTTGTAAACCAACAAGCATCTGCGACAAATACTAATGCCTCGTCCGGCATGGCAACTACCAAGTGCAGCACAAGGATTTCTTCACACGAATGGATTAATTCGTAGAATGCCATTTGAATACTTCAGTACTGTACCATATTTCCCTCATATCATGGCAAGAATACTGAGCTTAACCTGCAACCAGACATACAAGTGCTGTACTTAAACTTTGTATGCTTTGGATTATCAGGATCAGTTTGGTCGGTACTGTATGTTAACCGGTTACACACACTTCCTAGTGGAGCATTGTAACGTGTATGCGAAATGTGGATACGTTGAAGTTAGTCAGAACACCATGTTCTGTTAGAGAACCCCACCACTGTCAGTCAGGTACTGTAGCAGCGCCTGCTATCTGCGCAGGAGGTTTATGTGCCTTTTAGAGGCTTTTCCTCGGGTAAGTCAGTGCAGATATCTGGTCACGGAACATCATAGGATGCGTTGCCAATCACTGTAGCTGCTTCTTGTGCGATGTATAATGCCAGGGCTGGAGTTGATGTCAATCAGTACCAGTACTGAATTACTTAGTACTGCTCAAGGTAATTTTTATATTGGTTAGTTGAGTTTTGGATTATCATTATTAAAGCATTCCTCCGCGAGGGAACAATTTCCACTTAGCGATAGCGCAGTGGAAATTGTTATATTGGATATCGCTATTGGTCTATAGAAATAACGCATACTAGTAGTATGATCAAATATGAAGATCATATCGAATTAGTCAAAATCCAGCGAGTAGATAGAGAGTTATTGTAATTGACAGCTAATATGATCAGTACCTATAGATATTTCTCAACCGCTCAAATATAGAGCGATATGCCGATCTACTAACTTACAGTTAGTACATCATACACCAACTTGATTGGCTCCCGCAGTAATTTCCTGAGGGCAAATATTTACATACTTAAGCGACTCGATCAGAGTGCTATAGACCAGGTATACTTTGAAAACAGTCACATGTATACTAGCACGGATCCGATCGCAGCGTTACCAGCAAGGATCGGCATACCTTAGAGGATTCTGGTGCAGAGGTGTTACTTTGCATTCTCAAGGGTGTCGACTCCAACAAAATCACCAGCGTTGTTAGTGTGAACTTCGATACAGACCATTTGTACTTGGATTTTGTAAAAATTAGAAATATGACGGTTTACATAAAAACATCTACACCATTTTGCGTTTAATTTTAACTTTTTTTCAAAATATTTCTACCAACCTCCGATAGATTTCACCGAAATCGCCAATAAAATTCACCCAACCTCCATTAAATTTCACGCCGAATTGAAATTTGGCCATTATATTTCACCCAACCTCCGATATATTTCACCCATCCAATGGTTAATTTCACCTTTCGGAAATATATTTCACCTGACCACCGGTATTTTTCATGGAAAGTAAATTAAAACCAACACAAGGAACACATCTACGACATCTACGGCTCAATCACCAACGTCCATGTCTTCCATGTTCTCAGCACGGACATAAACGGCTCAAGGCGGGCCGTGTACACATGCAATTGATTCGGTAAATGCTCAAAACCAAACATTTGATCCAAATTAATATTCAATTTTATAATTCGTACTAGACCATTTTGCGTTTAATTCCAGCTTATCAGGTGAAATATATTTCCAAAAGGTGAAATTAACCATTGGATGGGTGAAATATATCGGAGGTTGGGTGAAATATAATGGCCAAATTTCAATTCGCCTTGAAATTTAACCCGGACGTGTGGACCGGCCTGCGATTCGCAGGTTGGTGGCTAAGCCAATGAAACACACGAATAGTACGATAAAGCCAGTATATTTTGGCCAATGAAACTTCCTTATTCTGAACATCAAGCTGTAATTTAAAAAAAAAATCACCCATTGTCGTGCGATTCGCAGTGTAGTAACAATAAATTCCCGCCAATAGTTATTAGGCTCATCGCAAAGTATTGTACTCACTTCAACTTTTGCGTGAGAATTGCCTTGGGAAAAGACAACACGTCACATCACGAGGTAATCTGATGTCATGCATGAATACGTGAACTTATCATACTCATGATCTAGTTTCCTCCTTCGAGCTGTCGTGTGGCGCGGTTGGGTGCCTGGATCCGCGACGGGGCCGTCATGATCGCCTTCCAGTGCTCGGTGAAGATCGACGTTCTTATAGGACTACTCCATTTCCCACGTCCAACCGTACTGGATATTCTACGTTGCGTCAAAGTTGCTGAAAGAGAATAGTGTTGTCGCCATCATAAGGACACTCGGTCAAAGGTGGTCAGAAGTCGGCTTGGATTACCAAACAACTGCTTGATGTGTAATCCCTACCATGAGACCCAAATACCGGTTCAATTCGGCATTGCCTGTCATAAGACTATTCGAATCTACAGAGCGATGGAATCCAACGCCAAAGATCGATAAACGTTCGCATTGGTGTTAGCCGGTAGCGTTTTCTACCACCGCGCGAGGGGATTCTTTGCGCATGAGTCAACCTGAACGACTTTCACGATGGATACTGGGTCTTTCCGTAATGACACTTCATCGCCTGACTTGTACTTCTTCACTATCCAACCCAGTTCCGGATCGGTCGGCTAAGCTAGAATCAACGCTATACTCGCAGAGGTTTTGGGAAGATAAAATCGCCACAGATCCCAGCACAATCGCAGAACTTTTGTCTCCCGTCAGAAATATTCCGTCGTAGATGACACGCGACGCACTGATCCTGTTCGCCCCCATCCGGCTCCAACGTTCGTACCACGAACGTGCTGTTTATCACCATAACAGTTAGTTTCAGCAATTTCCATCCGGTCGCACTGGCATTGAGAGAAAGTCTTCAGCATGCGGAAGTACAAGTGTTCTTGACCATTTGATCCACTACGTAATAACGCTTGATATTGATGTTTCCGCTTCACCTACGATGTCAGTTTATTCGTGCAAATCGACCCTCGTGCCAAGCTGCAACACCACAACATGGAAAGCGGGATAAACGGTATGGCAGGGATTCGAAGCATCGATCCGCTTGAACACATGCATTGCCACTGAGCATGCTCGCGAACACGTTGTCGATAAGGGAGAGGCGACTGGAATGGAGCTCGAAGCTGGTGATCACGTAGCGCACACTAGCAGAAATCATGGTTGCACCTTCCATGCGTTCCACCACTTGTCAGTAGGTCTTGCAAGGAGGGCATTTGCGGTGCCTCGCTTTTGTGAGGAAGGGTGGGTTGGAAACAGCATTGGTTGGAACTAGCACGCAAGCCCTTGTCGAAACGCATGAATCCGATGTCAAAGAAGCGGTATTCGAGCGCTTTGAAGTTGGCGAGGGACAAGTGGCCTAGCCTCGAAGGACACAATGCCACCTTGCTTGTTCCTCATTTTCGGTCGTGGTTTTGGTATTTGTGAACTACACAAGATGGAAGGTGTTTGTCTGGTGGGCCTTGGAGTGAGAGTACTTTAGTTGTTACATAGATTGCGCCATAGTGTTGTCTTGCGAATGGGGCTCGCTGGTGCATTGTGTTGGCTATTGCGTTGCTCTTCTTCGACTGCACGATACCTTCTTGTTGTTTAATTGAGTTTGATGGTAATATGAACGCCGTTGCTTGTCCACGGTAGTCTCGAGTTTGACCTCAGTTCTAGCAAGTTTAGCTTGCCGCGATGGCTTGGAAGGAAGCGTTTTGTGAGTGCTCATTTGCGAACGCGGCAAGTTCTCCTGCTGCACTGCGTTGTCTTGTGGTTCGAATCTTGCGTTGT